AGAGGAAGAAAAAAAGAAAAAGAGAGAGGAAGAAGATGAATCGATGAACCGATTATATTAGTTTATTTTTTAAAAATATAAATAATAATAATAATATGAGTTGGCATTGAAAAAAAAATCCACGTAAACATGTTTTTAATTTGTTTTTGCCATGTTATCAAAAAAATAATAAAAAATGCTACGTGAGCGAGTTAACGATCGAAATTAACAGAAGGACTAACGGAGTGCATTTCGTATAGTTAAGGGATTAAAAAAGTGCAAAAAATTGTTAAGGGACAAAAATGTGCAACTCACTAAAGTTGAGGGACCAAATTTAACATTTAACCAAAACCGAATTCTAAAAATATATGAATATATAGAAGAACTGTAGTTTCTAAGGAAGCCATTATAGTTCACTTTTGTCAATGATGGCGATTTACGTAGTTTTGAAAAGTAAACAAAAATACATATACAATATGTAGTTTAGAAATGTCTCCGAAGATATAGAAGCTCTTACCGGCTTCTCATACTGAGGTTGATAATGTTGTTCACTGTGCAAACATCACCCCTGCCTTGGTCGCTTGGCTTAAGAAGAATTGATCTGAAATATACAGTCAAATGGCCCGGAAAGATGGCCTGGACCAAAATATTCTCTTTTAAAAGACTCTGGTTGTGGGTTTTTTTGCTTTCCCTTTCATCCTTTGGACAGGACTGACCCAACATAGGGTCGCCCTTACCTTCCCAAGATCATTCACTCACTTTGTGCAATAATGGTGATATAAAACAAAATCAGAAAAATTTAGAAATTTGGATTGGTATGAAAAAGCGGTCAAGAGAATGCCTCGTGGCAGCTTCGTCTCACAATATCCCCAATGCATCAACTCGTAATAATGAGATTATGATTTCTAGACATTGATCAAATTTTCTCAATTGATGCAATTGAAGCAAATACAACTTTAAGAGTGCAAGGTTTCCAATTACAGAGATCCATTGTCCCGCACTCGGTGGCCTAATGGTCACCCCCTGCAAGGGACATGCGTAGGACTAATAGAGTTTGGCATCAAATCTCAAACCCCCCATTCCTTCATCCCAAAAAAAAAAAAAAAAATTTCACACTGTTCAAAAAAAAAATTACAGAGATCCATTAAATAGTCATGATTGTATTTAATTCAAGTAAAAAAGCAAAAAATAATGCTAGAAATTTCTTCTGAAATCTGTAAGTTAATTGTTGACAGCGAAACTGAAACTGGATTAGTATCGCATCATCAACTATGTGTATCAAAAACCTTCTCTATGAAAACAGAGGCAATTTCCACTAAGTAAGGTCTTAGCCACAATACAGGAGTCGTGCGGATCTTAAACTCAGGTACAAAATGAAGGTCCATTATATTGGTATGTGCTACTAGTATTTATTATAAAAAGAAAAGAAAAAAAAAAACAAACAAACAAAACTAAACAAACGTAGTCGTAGTAATTAAAATGTTGAGCGCCTTGTCCTCGAGGACGTACATGCATGTCGTGATTCCCGGAGGGAAATGCACTAAAATTTTATTAAAAAAAATAAAAAATGAAAGTGAAAGTGAGTTAACCTGTTAAACGAACGTGGCAGATGGATGACGGATGACCGATCAACGCCTGTGGGAAATGTGGTCAAGGGCCCCCCCCCTACATTGTGGTGGTGCTTCGGACACTCGCGTCACAACAGTGATCTTTCTTTTCATCATTGCACACTCGCGTCACACCACGTGTCTCTCTCTACCCATTTCCCTTTCTGCTTTTTCTGATAACCTTATCGTCCGCGCTCGAATTGCCATTGGTTGGTTCAGTACCAGAGGTCGAAGAAGCCATTGATTTGACCTCGAAACACCCGAAAATAAAAGTACCATTTATCAATGTCATACAATTGAAAGTATGAAAATATATATTTAAAATGTGTTTAATTATTGATATTTATAAAATTATAAAATTATAAATTATATTTTTTATAAAAATTTTATAATTATTTACTTTATTTATGTTAGGTAAATTTTTCGGTGATCGAAAATTTGATGTTAAATAGAGAGATTTAGAAAAAAAGAATTTGAATGTAAAGAATTAAAAAGATGAGGATCCAAAGATTAAATTTAAAGGGTTGAAGGCTCAAGTAGACTTTTCTCCATTTTTTATTAAGGACCAAAGTTCATGAGTTGACGGTGTTCACTTATCAATGCAAAAGGATTTACGGAACAACAGGGATTCGCAGCCTGCATCAGGTTCCAACTCTGAATTAGTTTGCACAAAAACAGAAACATGTAAGGTTTTACAC